AGAGCCCGCCACCTTAGGTGTATGTAGCTGGCGCCTTAGCCACTTGAGCCACAGGTGCTGAGCCTAGTTTTTTTTTTTTTTTGAGACAGTTTTACTTTGTTGCCTTTAGGCGATTCTCTTGTAGCAGCCTCCCAAGTATCTGGGGCTACTGGCACCCACCATAACACCTGGCTATTTTTTTGTTGTTGTAGTTTGGCTGTGGCCTGGTTTGAACCCGCCACTCTTGGTATATGGGGCTGGCCATATACCTGAGCCACCACTGAGCCATAGGTGCCGCCCCAGCCCAGCTCATTTTTAGAGACAGGGTGTCTCGAACTTGCTCAGGCTGGTCTTGAACTTGTGAGCTCAAGCAATCCACTCGTCTCGGCCTCCCAGAATGCTGGGATACAAATCAATTATAGATTAAAAGTGACAGCCAGTTCATTTGGTCAGAATCTCCTGAGCTTCCTGATAAAGAATGCATAGTAACATCCTAATTTCAGATTAGTTTGAGGAAAATCGTTACATGAAAAGTGTCAATTAACTAAAACACAATTTCTTAAGTGCTATATATGTTTTCTTTATACCAATCACCCACACAAATGAACATATGAACCCTCATTACATATCCAAATAGAACAAGGTTGCATTGCTGTGAAAATTCTAGAGGATAAGGCATCTCTCTTCCCGCTACTAACTCTGAAGGTGTGTATGGTCTGGGTAGCAATTCCATACTTGGTACTTCTGATCTACTTTCCAGTTTGACAAAGGTCTGGGCTACATTTGCAATGTACAACTATTCAAAGTAATCTATTATCACTTTAAAAAATAACTTTTGAAAATGAAAACCAGTTAACATTTTTCATTTTACTTCTGAATATTATAGTAGAAACTCCACAGTTGATCACTCCTCTACACTGACCACCTCTTTAAGTTGTCCTTATTCACAGACTGGAAATGCACCATCGGTACTCATCAACGGAAGACTGACTTCTATATACTGACCACTCTTCTAAGTTGTACCTTGACCACTTGGTCTGTGACACACAATATTCATTTACTCTCTATAACTTGACCAGTAGAGTCTACTTTAAACAAAGGGTAGAAAGTGTGGGCTTTGCCCCTTAGTTGCAGTGTTTTTTTTGTTTGTTTGTTTTATTCTTATTTTTTTAATAATTACTTTTTATTAAATCATAACTTTGTACACTGATACATTTATGGGGTTCAGGGTATGGCTTTGCTATACAATGTGAAATGTTTACACTGAATCAAGTAACACATCCATCACAATTACACTCATTTCTTAATAGTTTTGAAATGTGTTTTTTCTTTAGTATGTGTTCTTTTTCATGTTTTATTATCACATGTTGGATTAAGCCTAAACATCCTTACTGTTTATCTTGTGTCTTGGAAGGTTGTTTTCAACAGGAAGGACTGGTCTGACTGTGGGTATGTCCTACAATTACTGAAAAATTTTAGTTAATTGAGACATGATGGCCCAAAGGAAAACTCAAAACAGCTGATACTATGTCACCCTTGGTAGCGTGCCATGGCTTCACAGTGCACAGCAACCTCAAACTCTTGGGCTTAAGCAATTCTCTTGCCTCAGCCTCCCAAGTAGGTGGGACTACAGGTGCCCGCCACAACGCTCGGCTATTTTTTAGAGACAGGGTCTTGCTCTTGCTCAGGGTGGTCTTGGATCCATGAGCTTAGGCAATCACTTGCCTCAGCCTCCCAAGTCCTGGGATTACAGGTGTGAGCCACCATGTCCAGCCCAGAAAATTTTGGTTTCAGGAAGACCACACTTATTAGCAAACATTCAAAATTGTAAATATAAGTACCTGGAAAGACATAAAGAAAGTGGAGACCTACACTGGAGAAAGAGAAAAACTTTCCTCAGTGAAGTCAATGAAACCATATTAAAAGCTGGTTCAAACAAATG